AAAAAAAAAAAAAAAAACGGCTTCCGAGATGACTGCCTGCTACCACTGGACAAGCGCACGTGCAGCAGCTTACTGTCACTGCCCGAGCATCCACATCATTGTCTGATTTGGCTCGCTGCCTTGCGATGTGCGAAGTAAACCTGATCTTCGCACCAGGCCACTGCCAGGAATGCTAGGGACCCATGCCATAAGAGCTAAGCCAGGCCCCAAGCCACTGTAGGCGCACTCGAAATGCCGCCAGAATAGGCTCCATGTCGTCAACCTTGGCAAAAGAAAAATTAAACCACAAAACTCCGCGCAGCTTCATGCTCTAAGCATCAACGCAACAGACACAAAACACACACGTCCCTTGTCCAAAGCCCCAGTCAGAACCTGTAGGCCAGCATGCTCAGCAGCCCATGTACATGGTCCCATTCACGGAGGCACATCTTTCGAAATAACCAGAAAGGAGAATATCAGGCAGCGCAAAAAAATTTGGAATGCTGTAAACGAGACCGTGGAAAGCAACTTCTGCCGCTTTGCAGCCTGCAACGCGACCTTCTCTGAGGCAACCAACCACTTCGGTTGGCTGGAACAGCTGGCTCTGCGTTGAGCAAAGCCCTCACCCCCAACCACACCACCAGTCGACGGGGTGGCTTCCACATGTCATCTTTAAGCCGCGCAGTACAGTTGGGAAACGTTGCCTTTAGTTCAATAAAAAGACCCAACGGCAACACCAGGGCGTTGCCATCTTCACAAGAATAAAATGGCCCCAATGGTAACAATGCTAAAATCTATATTCACAAGCCCATGGCTTGATAAACCCGCCCCCCTTTCTTCCAAATGGATTTGGAAATGGCGCTGTGTGAAGTGCCGCAAGGGCACGATAACATCGACAATGCGCCACAGCAGCCAGGGCGCATTGCCTGAGCGTAGAACCGAGCAGTCCTGCATCACGAAGTAGGGGGCAGTGTCAGGTCACAAGGAGGGCGGGACCGAGCTGAAATCTGTCAAGACCCAGCCTTCTTGATCTCCTCTGCAATGCCATCAAAGGCTTCTGTGGCATCATCATCATGAACCAGACGGCGGCTACTTGCTGCCCCCATTTCTGCAGAGTCCATGTCAAATTCTGAGAGCCTCCCAGCACTCAGCGTTTTCTGAACACCACAGTTGAAGGCTTGCGCTGCGCAAGTATACACGCATGAATGTGCTGCACTGCCTCGAGGAAGCTTCTGGCGAGTCCGCGCAAAAACTTTCTGCGCGCAAGTTTTGCCCCATCGGCTCCTCTTCAGCAAACGTGTCGCTCCTGGCAAACCTGATAGCGTCCGCGTAGCACCAGCATCTGGCTGCACTGGTGCAAACAAGCGACGTTCGTGCACTCCTTGTACCAGTACCAAAGCGCCCCCGCCTTCGCCTACAGCACCTGCAGCAAGGCAAGTCGGAACAGCGCAACTGTCATCTTCAATGAGTCGCACTTTGCATGCAACCTGGCAAAACTGCGATACCCCCACACTCTTGCCCCAGAGCCTGATCTCACTGCGCGGTGACGGGGACGGCTGACCACTGCCATCTTCTGAAAAGTGAGTCACCCACTTTGTCTGTACACTGATCCTTGGTTCTGATTACTCACATCTTGCAGAGACTGCCTTCCAATCATGTTGCTGGATCCAAGCAACACCGTGTCAAACTTCGGTGGTCCGGCCACAAAGAGAGCAACCCGGCCCTTCAGTCAATGCTCGATGTCTCACAGAACCTCTAAAAATTCTGAAACAGCAAATGCTCTTCACTAATGGATGTCCCCAAAATAATACAGACATGAAGAAATGAAGGATGCCTTGAACTAGCAAGTCCTGATTCTCTGTCCTGCACCTCTATGAAATCTCAAGATGTCAGACGTTTCGGGGGTGACGAAATTCTTCTGCTAGCTAGAAATGCAGAAGCATGGCTATGACCAGGTGCGCCTGTTCTATGCGAACCTCGCATGGAGATTGGTTGTCCTGATTTCAAGCTTGACACAAGGCAGGCAGCACCAGCAAATGTTCATAGAACTGACTTAAGCCAAGCAAGGATCTGAATCCACTCCAATAGAGCGGCTACTGGCGCGCCTGGAGCTCTTTCGTGCATACCACAAGAAGACAAAAGCCATGCAAGTACTCTGAACTTAAACCTCGGCAGGTCTTCACCATCTCGATCACGCCGAGCGAGCTCGTATCTGTCAAGCTCATTTCTGGATGGCCTTGAGCAAAAAAACACGCCATAAAATTGGGAATTTAAGACAAGCAAATGCTGGACAGTAGGGCCAGCA